ACTAATATCTATGCATCTATCTGCTCTTTGTTCCTCACACTGCCACCAGATTGAGTCTATCTAACCAATCTTTAAAAACAGAAATCTTATATTTTAGGATTAAAAACAAAAATTATTAGCCTGACCAATCAGACCCTGCATGGTTTGCTCCCTGCCTATTTTTTCAGCCTAATTTTTATCTGTTTCTACTCTAGCCACATTGGGCTTAGCCCAACAAACATTGAAGTCATTTAATAATCCCTAATAGAACATTTTGAAAAAGAAGATTAATGAGGAGAAACTCACCTACCAGATACTAGCATGTATCAAATGTACAATAATTGAAACAATGGGGTGCTAGCACCAAAAATGACCAGAACATCAATGGGAACAGAAAGTTCCAAAACAGAATCAAGTATCTGAAGGCATTTTAAATCAATGTGGAAAGGATGGCTCATTTAATAAATTGTGTAAGGACAGTAGGCTACCTACTTGTAAAGAAACTAAATTTAGATCCTTATCTCATACTGAATTCCAATATGTATCATAGATGGAAAGAAAAGATTTAAATGTAAAAAATAAAGCAATAAAAGTATGAATAATTCACAGGTAACTATTCATGTGAAACTAGGGTAGAAAAGAATCTTCTCAGTAGAAAACACGTAAATTGAAAATGTATGTGTTCAGGATTAAAATGAAAACAAACGACATATTGTAAAATATCTTTCCCAAGGATTAACATCCCTAACATTTAAAGTACTCTTACAAGACAATAAAATATAATTAGACACATCAATTAAAAAATGGGCAGAGGACATAAAATCACAGAAGACATAAAATGAATCTCACTAATAATGTTTCAGACTGCCAAAGAAGGGGAGGGAGGAGAAAAAGAAAATACCTAGTATTAGCAAGGAGGAGGGGAAAGGGATCCTTTCATATAATACTGGTGGGAATGTATGTGAATAAAAACTTTTGGAAAAGTAATCTGACAATTTGTTCTTTATCGAATATTTATCATACATCTACTACGTACCATGCAAGGAAACCCTGCTGGCATAGTGGTTAAGTGCTACGGCTGCTAACCAAAAGGCCAGCAGTTCAAATCCACCAGGTGCTCCCTGGAAACTCTATGGGACAGTTCACTCTGTCTTATAGGGTCGCTATGAGTCGGAATCAACTCGACAGCAACAGCTCAGGGTATGTACCAAGCTCTGTTTTAGGGGAAACATCAGGGAACAAAACAATATGTATCAAAAGCTTTTTTAAAAAAAATTTATGCTCATGAGCTATTAATTCCCTTTTGGAAATCCTTAAGAAAATAATTAAGAATATGCACAAAGATTTTCAAGGATGCTAACACTGGCAACAATCTATACAGTCAAAATAAGAGATTGTTTACATACATTTGGGTACCTTCATATGATGGAATTATGAAGGTACTGAAGACAATGATTTACATTCTATATTTATTGACATGTCAAG